CCCCATCCTTAAATTGCTTTTTTCCCCATCCCTAAATTGCTTTTTTCCCCATCCCTAAATTGCTTTTTCCCCCAGTCCTTAAGTTGCTTTTCTCCCCACCCTTAAATCACTTTTTCCCCATCCTTAAATCACTTTTTCCTCTACCCTTAAATCGCTCTTTCCCCCATGCTTAAATGGTTTTCCCCCCATCCTTAAATTGCTTTTCCCCCGTCCTTAAATTGCTTTTCCCCCACCTTTAAATTTCCCCCCACTCTTAAATTGTTTTTTTACCCATCCTCAAATTTTTTCCCTCATCCTTAAATTGATTTTCCCCCCTACTCTTACATTTCTTTTTTTCCCACTCTTAAATTGCTTTTTCCCCCACTTTTAAATCGTTTTCCCCCCACTCTTAAATTGCTTTTCCCCCACTCTTTTAACTTCTGCTTTGATCTCTGAAGAAGTTGACCCCCAGCCCCAAAGAGCCAAAAAATTATTAATATTATTAATATTTAATTATATTATTATATTATTATATATAATTATATTAATTATTTAATTATTAAGATTTAATAATGACTTAAACCCCCAATAATTATTTACTATTTCATTTTTTGGGGGAAGCCTGCTCCTGCCTGGCTGGGGGGTGCCTGCTGTGTCCCTGAGCCCGTGGCCAGTGGAAATTCCCTGTTTTTCTTTTTCCAGTCCTCCTATTTTGGGGAGATCAGCATCGGGGAGCCCCCCCAAAAATTTCTGGTGCTTTTTGACACCGGCTCCTCCAACCTGTGGGTGCCCTCCACGGACTGCAAGAGTCCTGCTTGCTGTGAGTACCCCGGGCTGCTGTGGGCAATTAGTACTCATTAATTAGTGCCACTGTCCTGGTGCAGGGCAAATTTGGGGGAAGAACCCCAAAAAAGGTTCCTTCAGGAAAGCAGATTCAATTAGCACCTCCTCCTAACCAGTTTGGGAAAGATAACACTTTGGAGAAAAAGTGGATTAAAAACTGTTTATTAAACCAGCAAAATTAAACAATATTAAACAATAAAACTTGTTGCTACTCCAAGAGAGAGATAAAATCAGAAATAAATTCCCTGAGTGGCAGCTGGGCTCACTCGGTCTCTGAAATGGAAATGCCCAGGCCCGGAGCTGCTGCTCTGCTGGTGTTCAGTCCAGAGCAGGCCCAAAAAAGGGAAAAAACCCCAGTGCAGGGAATTTCTGTGCCTCAGAAAGGGAAAAAAAACCACTCCAGGGAATTTCTGTGCCTCAGAAAGGGAAAAACCCCAGCAGGACCTGATCCCTGCAAATTATATCCTGGAATGAAATCCCACTGCAGAGCAGGACCCAATCCCCAGGAATTATCCCAGCAGTGAAATCCCAGTGCAGAGCAGGACCTGATCCCTGGGAATTATCCCAGGAATGAAATCCCACTGCAAGACAGGACCCAATCTCCAGGAATTATACCCAGGAATGAAATCCCACTGCAAAACAGGACCAAATCCCCAGGAATTATCCCAGCAGTGAAATCCCACTGAGGAGCAGGACCTGATCCCTGGGAATTATCCAGTGAAATCCCACTGAGGAGCAGGACCTGATCCCT